TGTAACGAGTGGCTATTTTAGTTACTGTTGCCTTTCTGTCAGCTTGAACCAGTCTGGCCATTCTCCTCTGACCTCTGGCATCAACAAGACATTTGTACCCACAGAACTGCTGCTCACTGGATACTTTCTCTTTTTCAGACCATTCTCTGAAAACCCTAAAAATCGTTGTGAGTGAAAATCTCTGTAGATCAGCAGTTTCTGAAATACTCAGACCAGCCCGTCTGGCACCATGCCACATTCAAAACCACTTAAATCACCTTTTTTCCCCATTCTGATGCTCTGTTTAACTGCAGCAGATCGCTTTGACCATGTCTACATGCCTAAATGCATTGAGCTGCTGTCATTGTGATTGGCTGATTAGAAGTTTGCATTAATGAGCAGTTGGACAGGTGTACCTAATAAAGTGGCCGGTGAGTGTATATTCAAGTATATACAGTATAAGACAAACCACTAGGTTTTAAGCATTTGTCAGTGATGCATAATATAGAATTTGAAACACTTATATAATGATTATAATTAATATGTATCTAATTGCTCTTTTGCCAATTTAGTTAGATGAAGAAGCACAAACACAAAGTGGCCGGTGAGTGTATATAAACATATATACAGTGAAGCCCGAAAAATTCTTTAATAAATTCCTATCCCATAAGCACATACATGCATCTAATTACTGTAGGAACTGCATCTTAATAAGGAGTCATGGGGTTACTTGTTATTGCTCATTTTACAGAGGGCCTGCAGAAATATCTCCAAATGCAAAGACAAGCTCTGAGAGAGGCAGAAAAATAAATGAATCCCTCAAATGAATAATAAATGATTCGAAAAGGACTTTACACATATACCCCCGTGACTCAAGATCACATGTTCTCTTTGTGTCTGCTTCTGATATGATGCAGTATTTGGCTTAGATTCACCACAGTAGTGACTGCGTTGGACCGCAGATACAAGATCTCAGATGACCTACTTTACTGTGATCAAATGTCAGATGAAGCAATCATATCATTACACGCACATTAACTGTATATGTGAAAGGAGGAGAGGAAAAAAGTGAGATAATCAGTCGTGCACACTTGACCCAGCTGTTCTCTCGTGATGTTTTACAGCCTTTCTGATGTCAGAACAGGTAGCAACAGTCATCCAGCAGCTAAAAAATGTCACAAATGCAATAAACCAGAATAACCAGTTCCCAGAACGTCTGTCAAAGTACTCCAAGCGAAGAGTACTAATCTCTACACCGTCATCTTTTCACCACAACTAGGTTCCATGGAGGCTGTTTGATTAACCAGTGGGCAGTTTTAAAGTTGCTATAGATAGTCTGCACTAAGAAAGAGACATTTTTAACTGAATATATACAGTTGAAGTCAGAATTATTAGCTCCCCTGTTTATTTTCCCCCAATTATATATATATATATATAGTAGCATAAAAAAGATTTTTAAGATTTGAAATCACTAACTCACATTTTCTGGATTTTCATTAGTGTGGTGACCCTAACATAGTTGCTCTAAACCAGAGAAGACCAAAATAGGGCCTGCGGGCCAAAGTAGGGCCCATAGTAACCTTTGATATGGCCCACCATCCCATCTGAGAGAATAGTGAGAATGATTGAGAGAGTTGGGGCGAATGCCTTTAACACAGAGTTCAGAGATCGTCATCACCTTTTTTTCGTCTGTTTTGTTGTTTCAATTAATTGTAGTAAATAAATCAGATTTTTTTAAAACGTAAAAACTGTATCTCGACGGGCGAAGCAGTGGCGCAGTAGGTAGTGCTGTCGCCTCACAGCAAGAAGGTTGCTGGGTCGTTGGTTCGAATCTCGGCTTAGTTGGCGTTTCTGTGTGAAGTTTGCATGTTCTCCTTGTGTTCGCATGGGTTTCCTCCGGTGCTCCGGTTTCCCCTACAGTCCAAAGACATGCGGTCCAGGTAAATTGGGTAGGCTAAATTGTCCGTAGTGTGTGTGTGCGTGTGTATGTGTGTATGTTTCCCAGAGATGGGTTGCGGCTGGAAGGGCATCCGCTGCCTAAAAACGTGCTGGATAAGTTGGCGGTTCATTCCGCTGTAGCGACCCCGGATTAATAAAGGGACTAAGCCGACAAGAAAATGAATGAATGAATGAATGAATGTAACTCGACGGTTGGAGAACTATGCAGAAGATATCGGCGAGCAAATAAAGGCAAAAACTAGTGTAATCCTATTATAAATTAGATAGTTTTAACTGTAATAAGTTCATTATAAAATGTAAAAAACTGTATTGATTAATATAAAATACTTAATTAGTTAATATAAAGCAATGTTTTATAGTCAATTTTAAACATTAATAAATAAATTAGGAAATTACCCATGGAAACTATATTTACCGTTGCCCCACTTGCCTCGATCACGTTTGGTTTTTGGCCCTTCGCAAGAAAAAGTTTGGGCACCCCTGCTCTAAACCAGGTGTATTCAATTAGTTTGTCATGGTGACCAATTCATGAAAAGCATCTCAAATGAAAGGCCGGAGAGATATGACTAGCAATAAGTGACGACACAACAGCAATATAAGAGCCCATATGCTGTATTTTAACTCCTTAAGACATCCACGTTGGCTTTTTTACATTAAAATGTTAATATGTTGTATTTTAAAACTATATATCACTGCTTTGTAAAATGTGGCTTTTTTACAAGCAAATCCAAATGTTGTATTTTGAGGCACAAAATTAGTGTATTGTTTAAGTAGGCTTCTTCTACATTCAGACATATTCATATGTTGAGTTTTAAAATGCGTAACAGTTAGGGATGCAACGGTTATAGATTTTGGTTGTACGATTATAGTGTGAAGAATAATCATGGTTTTACAGTTATCACCATTATTATGCATTTATTAAATTTAAACCACTACTAGTTTAGAAAATCACAAGAAAACTGCTTATATTTTAAAGTGTTGTTTATTGCTGCTCAGTAACCAAATACTGCACAAAATATTGATAAAAAAAACAGTAGTCCACTTCTCTCTTTGAACTTAAAAGTAAATGAAAAGGTTTTTTATTTAAAAGAGTGATCATTTAACAATGAAAATAAATGACAGAACAATGAATAAATAAATAAAAGCTATATATTAGCTAAGAATTTAAAAGAACTGTTATTATCATCTGCATTCATACATACATAATCATTTTAATAATTTGTAATAATTTGTCTAACATATCTTTTGTGTACATTGCACTAAAATCCACGAACAACTCACTACTACAGCGTAAGATCATTCCTGTTTGGGCGGGAGAACGTCTGTCAGCTTGCGAGCCATGCGCACACTGCTCCAATATGCACACGTCTCCATTGGAGACGCAATATGTGAACAGCCTGCTGCTATAGGTTATCCAATGTGTGTGCGTATTAGCCGCGGTATAAGCTTTGAACTTGTAACTAGCACACAGTTAGCATAACTTTGTTTAGTTGCAGCAGTTTTGTTCCATGCAACAGAAATGCGGCATTGAGAAGCCTTTATGATTCATTAACTGTAATAAATTAAAGCACGGTTAATTGTGAAATCGGCTAATGATTGTATCCCTATTAACAATATCAGTTCATTGTACAAAAGACCTTTTCTACAAACATATCCAAATGTTTTCGGCTGCCCGCACCAATTGCTTAATGTCAGGTGACTCGAGCTTTGCTCAGCCTTCAACTGCAGCTCGTGCTGTATTGAACAGACGCACGTCACGTCATAACTATAGCGACCGTTTTTTAGCAAAGTTTATTTTTGATGTCTTGGTCACACTATTTGGAGAGCCAGAACAAATTGCCTCAGGGCCGGGTTCGGCCTGCGGGCCACCAATTGAATAGCCCTGCTCTAAACAATTGCACACAAGATTTCATCTCTAAGCCCTTATTCAAACAAGCCAGCTTTTAACCCACGCAAACCATGTGACACACAAATGGAAATATGGGGAAGATCATTATGGGACATGTGGCTAATCACAACTCATGTAGAGTAATAAAGCTGTTATAGATAGTGGGAGATATGTAACATTTTAGTCAAACATCAACCTAGGCTGCACATTGAAAAACAGGTATGGCCTTTAATGAATCACCAAGAGAAAACTTGCAAACTTACACAGTAAAAGCCAAAAAGTTATGGTAACTTAAACCATTTGAGGAAACCGATTGCAACAAACCATTCAAGTTCAAAAAGGAATAATAATAAGCACAGTAAACTTAACCTATTTGAGTAAATTAAGCAATTTGAGCACAGTAAAACCCAATAAATGAGGAGAACACAAACCAACTGAGTACTGAAAAACCCAATAAGTTAAGGCAACTCAAACCGTTTGAGGAAACGGATTGCGACAAAACATGAGGTAAAAAACGAATATATACGAGTACTGTGAACTTACTCCATTTAAGTTGAAGTAATGAGATATTTAATTAACTCATTACCTTCAACATGGAGTTCAAAACTCTTTTCAAATGAGTAAAATTAACTTTCAGTCAATTTTGAGTTAACTACACTCATTTCATCTGATAAAGTTGCCTGTTGGGTTTTACAGTGTACAAACTTCTGTTTTAACAGTAAAAGAAATCTGCTTAAACAGGTTTGATCACATATAGAGAATGTATTTGGGGTTTACATTGCTTTAACTAAACCACCATAGTTGTTAAAAAAAGAAAATTCTGTCATCATTTATTCAACATTTAGGCGTCACAAACCTGTTTGAGCTTCTTTGTTCTATTAAACACAAAAGATATTTTGAAGAGAATAAAAACCTGTAACTATTTACTTCCATGGTATGTTTTTTTTTTACTATGGATGTCAGTTGTTACAGCATTCTTGAGTATTCTTCAACAGAACAAAAAACAAAACTGGTTTAAAACAGGTGAAGTGCGAGTAAATGATGGTTTTTCATTTTGGATGAACTTTGCTTTTAAACAACCTACAGTGCTTAGTGAAAACAGAGGTAGATGCTATAGAGGAGCTGTTTCTGTAAATACAGTTAGTTTTAGATTGTGGCGAAACCACACACATACCTAGTTCCTGTCTTGTGCTGCAGACACCCACCCCGTATTGTCTGGTCTTCTCTGCCACAGTTTTAAGGAAGTCAACGTTGTTTTCAGCGAAACCCAGATAGTTGTAGGAGCCCATGTTTATGACGTTCTCAATGGTTCTCCCAGTTAATCTGCAGTGGAATAACACATTAACCAAGCTGTTACAAATACATACACAGATGTAGTTCCACACTCAATGGCTGTAATATAGGAGAGCTGTGCTTATTACAAAGCAGCATTTACCAAACTGCTAAGTGAAAACACAAACATAATGCTTTTACTCAACATGGCATGTATTTGATCAAAGATATAATAAAAACATTTTAATGTTAGTTTTCTATTCCTTTGATGACAAAGCTGTGTTTCGATTATTCTTATAGTTGTATGTTTCTTCAGAAATATATATATTTTTAAGTCTTAATTGTCAAATGTGATTGATTTAAAACACCCTTGTGTAATAAAAGTATAATTTTCTTACATAAAAAAATGATTGACTATGCATTTTTAAACAATGACAAAGATATAATATCATATTTGAATATATTTCTACCCACGTGAAAAGACCAGATTAGATCAGTAAGAATAGAAAGTCATACTTTGTGCTGATCTGGTGAAAAATATGCATGCTTGTTCTGGTAGAGTTGGTTGACCAGTTTTGCTGGTTAAGCAAGACTGTGAAGGACATCCTGTGCCAGAAACATCTCACACTATCTAAATTTAATGAAGTGCATTGATATACCGGAAAGTCCAGTTGTAATCATCCGAGACCCTTTCCATGAGGTCAAAAACCGGACCGGGAAGACTGCATATGGGCCGATTCCAGTTGTCCCTGACTCTCATGTACAGATTTCGTTTGTAGAAGTTTTCAAAATCTTGGTAAAGGGGAACAAAGTCCTGTAATATAAGAAATCAGTTATTACATAATGACCAGCAGCAATTTTAAAACAAACTGACGTCCAGTGTTTTGTGCCTCCCCTACACAATTTGCTCATTCATTAAAAAGATGAGCCACAGCTGACACGAGATCAGCCGTAAAAAGACACTGTTTGCATTTGGGTAGTTACAACCTGGTGAATGTTTCAATACCATCTGCTCTGAGAGCATCAGAGTCCTATGAGACTCACCCACATCTTGTCCTTAAGTAAACTCTGCCAGAGAACACGAGGGAGGACTAAGCAGACTCTTCATTGTGTTGTCATTATTAAACCTACTTCAAATTGCTACGAATCTTATTATAGAGACAGTTCAGACAGCTGAAAATAACAAAAGTACAACAAATGGCCGTCTGACTTTTACAAGTTTTTTGCCTAGGCTTTTGACTGCCAATCATAAGCTTTTCTGGTCACTGAGGAGATGTTTGATCTTTCCCTAGCGTTTCAGAGCTTGGATTCATTCTTAAGATGCCAAAAAAGCTCAAAATAAAACTGCACTCTTATTGATTCTTGTAGCCTTTTTTTTCATTTAACACAAAGAATACACAAGAACACAGCTTTGCTGGTGTGTCTCAAACGGCAAAGTAGAAACCCCTGTAAAACAGGAATAGGGAGATCGGAAACGCAGTGAGATCATTTGAGGCCACATGTAAATTTTACTCTTAAATGCTAATGGAGTGTATAAGTCTACACATCAAGCACACTCTGTGAAATATGCAGTGCTGAAGTAAAACCAGCTCTTTTCCGGCTCATATATTTATTTTCATTGGATATTAATGCTGCTATATCAGCATTCCAACACTCAAAAGTCTGTTGGACTCGATTCTTACTGACTTCTGTTTGTGCACTTTTGCAGATTAGAACTAGCTTAGAAGATTTAAACGGTGCCAATTTGGCTGCAGTGATCGTGAAAAACATGGCAAGCACAAAACTGAAAATCCTCAATGTGTTCGCTCAGACCAATACAATGCTATTTAGTTTGCTAAAGGTGTGACTCCTTCTGAAAGCTTACTGTTTTATGATCTTGCCAACTAAACTTCAAAAACTCAGTTTAGGCCTTTGAATAACATCTAATGCACTGCCACCAGCTTTGAGTGAGAAATGTGTATAAAAGAGTCATCTTTGTGAAGGCTGCATTCTCAGTGGACAGACTGAGAGCAGAAATAATGAACTCACTCTCCACTGGGGTTTAATTGCGTCTTTAACCTCCACAACATGACATATCATGGAGAGTTTCCATAGTGAAGAGTGAGCAAATGATGTGAAGGAAAACACTTCATGTTTGAGAATAAAATAGTCTTGCCAAATAAACATTTTAGCTTCTTTGAAACACAGTAAGCTGTTTTCCCAATCTTGAAATAAAAAGTCAAATTTAGTCAAAGGTTTACAAGGGGTAAAGTTCAAAATAATAACAATAAAAATAAGATTTTCTTCTGAGTATGCAATAAAAACTAGAGCAAAACAAACTGTAACAAGCTACTGTAACTTACCTTAACATATCAGTTACTATGGGAAACCTATTAAAAGGGGAGCAAACCTACCTTCTGCTCTTCTCTCTCCTGGGCCTGATGGCACTTCTCTAACCCAACAGCTCTTAAGAAGTCCCTGAAATATCCAAAAAGTATTACAATCCCATAACCCATGTATGTTAGGACCGCCACATACATGGGGGCCTCCTCGAATGAATCTTCACCCCTAACTCGAGGCTGATGAAAACCGTTTCCATTTTTCTGCACCTACAAGGTTGACAAAACAGTACTCATAAGGCAACAGCATAATGATACTATAATTTAGTAGAGAAATGGCATTCGGACATAAACCGTGAACTGAACATTTCTATTTACATACTTGTAAATGTCATTTCTATGTGTGCTCAAGCTATATTTGCTAATAGCAACATTTAAATGCAATACTGGTTTGTATTAAAGTTTACTAGTATGAGTAGATTTCATAGTTTTGCATGTGGCTAAAAATACAAATAATACAGCAAAAGTATGGTTATAGTGCCACTAATTTTATGAGCACAAACATTTATTACAGTAACAAAACATAAGCACACTTTAGTGATGACTCGAACCGAACTTTTGACTGACTCTTCTGAACAAGCCAACTAAACGAACCGATTCGCTTAAATGAATCGAAACTCACAATTCAAACTCAGTGTGAACTATATCAAACTTATGTTATAGAAACAGAAGTACAGCAGTACGAACTACTTCGAGTGAACTTTAAGATCACCCTTGTCATTACACTGTCGTTTTTAGAAACACCACGCTTCACTTGATGACTAAGTTTGGTATACCTTTTCATTTTTGTGATATCCATTTTTCAAGGTGTAGTTTTCCGTTTGCTTCTGGCCAGAACGAGACTTCAGCGTCCCGTTGCATGAATGAAGTTCCTCAGTTCGTATCATGTTTGCGAAGCATCAGGGATGAATTATAGCGATATTGAACTTCTCTGTCCCTCAGTTTAGATAAATGTGTGCGAGTCCGATGAAGTGTAATTCCCTGATGTGAGTCCACCATCCGGCTTCATGCTCAAATGACTTTGATTTGTGTAGCTACATACAACTTTGGACCAGGAAGTGTTCACGGAGATCAGAGGAGCGACGCGACGCGACTGTGCGCTGCCTTCTGACACCTTCGTTGATAATGAAAGAGATCCTGTTTTTTTTTTTGTGAAGACCCTGTGGAGTTGTCAAACTTGGTGTCAGTCGTTCTGAATCTCCCCCGGAATACACTTTATAACAAATGAAAAGCAAAAGTAAAACTGCTGCAAGTGACCATGACTGACTGTCTGAGGTAGATTATAGGAAGTAAAAAAATGTGAACGATGCAATATGCGCCTTAAGGGTAGCTTACCTAACAGCATGGTCATACTTTTTAAAACTGGTCTAAAATTACCCAGATTTAACTGTGTTTGTGTATTTGTAAAATCTAGTAATCAAAAATGGTTTATAGACTGTGCCTCTGAATGCAAGGGTCCTTGATCTGAGAGGCCACCCAGAAGGTTGCAGGTGTAAAGCTTTAGTAAGGTTTGAATGCTTTTGTCACTCTTGCACTGTTTTCATTATCAGAAGTGGTACCTTTGTATTATTTTTGAAAATGTCATCTTTAGTTTACATCTGCCTTTTAAATAATTTTAACAAGTATTTTGAGGGTCACAAATAATTCTTAAAATAGTCACATCATGGCATCCCTAAATAAAGCTCGAAATGTGTTTAGATCAGTGGTTCTCAAACTGTGGTACGTGTACCACTAGTTTAATAACCACTATTTAATCAAATAAAATTTAATACGTTTTTATATTTTACTTTTCAAGATTTTTCAACTTTTTTATTTTTATAATTAGAACAACAGTGCTCTGTGTGTGGTTTTATTTCCAATAAGATATAATGATTTAGTGAATGTATTTTTATACATTGCATTTGAAGCCTTAAAACAAATGTGACAAATGTTTTCTTCTGCATCTAAGATGAGCTTACAATCTCATTGCTGCCTTCAGCATAACTACCACTCCAACGGCATTCAGCAGAATGTGGGAAGTCTTCACCACAAAACAAGAAGTCATTGTGAAAAAATTTCTGAAGCCAACTTTTCTTCCCATGTGTCATCAAAAGGGTTGTGCTCTTGACAATAATGTATACGCACATATACATATTAGGGCTGCACAATGTATTGTTTCAGCATTGATATCACAATGTGTAAATCCGCGATAGTCACATTGGAGGATCTGCAATGCAGTTCAGTTTTAGTTCGAGTGGGATTATAGTTGACCAGGAACCACATTGTAAAGTTTGACCATAATAGAATGCCAATTTTTATTTGCTTGTTTGCTTTGTTTTTAAGGCCTATGCCTGTGAGATGTCACATGTATTCAAACCGTTTGTGTATAAGTAATTATAACATTAGTAGTTTTAACATAGATTAATTGTTTATGTTAATAAAATTAAGACTTTGCAGTGTTATTTATTTCCATTAGATTTTTTAATTTCTGTATCTGATACAATTAGACTCTACAGTAAACCAGAAAACTCTTTTTGGTTAACTAGGCAGATTATATGTCCAATGAAATCATCCTAATCCATATACAATTATGAAGTCTTTCCAAGTTGAGCTGTTCAAGTTATCTGGTCAAATTATATAATGCAGAAAAACCAAACAGTCACCTTTTTTTTTTTCCAATATCATGCAGCCCTTGTACATATACACTCACCGGCCACTTTATTAGGTACACCTTACTAGTACTGAGTTGGACCAACTTTTGCCTTCAGAACTGCCTTAATTCTTTGTGGCATAGATTCAACAAGGTACTTAAAAACATTCTTCAGAGATTTGGTTCATATTGACATGATAGCATCACGCAGTTGCAGCAGGTTTGTTGGCTGCACATCCATGATGTGAATCTCCCGTTCCACCACATCCCAAAGGTGCTCTTTTGAATTGAGCTCTGGTGACTGTGGAGGCCATTTGAGTACAGTCAACTCATTGTCATGTTCAAGAAACCAGTCTGAGATGATTCATGCTTTATGACATTGTGTGTTATCCTGCTGGAAGTAGCCATCAAAAGATGGGTACACTATGGTCATCAAAGGATGGACATGGTCAGCAACAATATTGACCATGTCCATCCAGACCATGTCCTTTTTTAGACCATTCTCTGTAAACCCTAGAGATGGTTGTGTGTGAAAATCCCAGTAGATCAGCAGTTTCTGAAATATTCACACCAGTCTGTCTGGCACCAACAACCATGCCACAATCAAAGTCACTTAAATCACCTTTCTTCCCTATTCTGATGCTTTGATTGAACTGCAGCAGATTGTCTTGACCATGTCTACATGCCTAAATGTTCTGAGTTGCTGCCATTTGATTGGCTTATTAGACATTTGCACTGACAAGCAGTCGGAGAGGTGTACCTAATGAAGTGGCCAGTGAGTGTATGCTATGTATTTGAGAGCAACAAATACCTAAGCGACTGAGTGAGTAAATAATGAAGATACATCTAGATGGAAGAAAGGAGACTAATGGAAAAGACAATATATCTTGAAGAAACGGATCTAGTGGAAGAAACAGATCTGTCTAGATGGAAATGAAGAGAGAACGGGAGTGGCACCGCGTGGCACTAGTAGCTGGCAGCAGCCTGCAGCTGTCTGAACCAATGCTGGACCAAGCGTGGAACTGTCACTGCTAATTAACCACTGATCCTCCCTGTCCTGCTCTCTCCCTCTTTTTCTCTCCTCACTAAAGCCTGAATCGTTCACTCTGTCCACCTCTATCCCCCATGAGCCTCCTAATCCTCTGCCAGAGACTTTGTGCTAAGGGAACTGCGCTAGCCTAGATCTGTCAAGCATCATTAGCTTTATTAATATTAGCACTCATTATTTATCTCATATTTGTGTGGCAGGTTTCTCTACACTCTCACTGAAGACCTCTAATGAGTCTTACAATTAGTGATGCAGGAAAGGCCTTGTTGTTTGATTTATGTTTGCAACTATTTCATTGTGCAATTATTATTTAATTAGGACTTTTTCAAAGTTAATGCTGTTATTCTTGCATTATATAAAGGCGAAACTTTTCGTGTAAAAGTGTATTTTATGCATTAAGAGCTGCTAAGTTAGTGTAAAAAATATTGTAACAAGGTAATTTCCCCCAAATGATATCTTATCAGTAGGCCTACAAAGAATCTGTACGATTTTTAGTTCATCGAGTCTATTCTGTAAATGTCAATGTATATTTATCAGTTTTTAAGTTAATTTCAGTTATAATATTGACTAATATAAAAGTATTTATTTGATTTATTTACAACACAGTTTGTAAAGTAATATTTTCCGTCTTTAAGTAGATAAATTATATGATAGACTTAGTTTACCAAATAAGTGGGTCTAGATGGATTTGCAATGTAGATATTAAATAAAAGTTAAAAAGGTATTATTTTGTATTTCATATGTTAGGTTTTAAGTTTAGATACTCCCAAAATAATTCCGCATAAATTAGATTTTTATTTTTTTTTTTTTACAAAATTCTCAGCAGAAATAACTTAGCAAAAAAAAAAAAAAAAAAAAAAACATCTGCAGATCCTGTCTGGCCCTACTTATCAGTCTTGTCACGACTTGTGTTTTGTTTTAAAGCATTAGTCATGGTATTTGTTTTGGGTCAGTTTTTTTCATACAGCAATTCATATGAGTATTACAAACTATAATATATTAACAGTTACGTCAGGTAATATAGGTAATAGGTTATATTATGCGTAAATATATTTATAATTAAAAATTTAAGCACACACACACGTTTAAGTAATTTCAATGGCACTAGCGATTCATAATTCGCGAACGAATCTTTCGACGTGGTTAGCAGCAAAACTAAATCGTTTAGCGTTAGCATCCTAGCAAGTTACATTTTACTATCAGCATATTCACGTAACGTACTGAAATATGGTTTAAATTTACCTGTTTCCGCCAAAGTAAGAGTTCACGCGATGGAGTTGAAATTTATCGACAAGAAAGCTAAGCTAAGTTATATTCTTAAATGAAAGACATCGTTTGTTGTGAAGTTCTGCGCGTGCTCGTGAAGAGGCGACTCTGTGACGCAGGTAATTGTATTTAATGACAATTAAAATGATACATTATTATTCATAATAATAATTTAAAAACCTCCAACTTAATATACAGCATACGTCGTAAAATTATGTTTTTTAATTAACCGTAGAGTACCATGCAAATACCACAGTAAATGAGCAATCATGCAGTAATGGCCTTATTAAAAATATTAAGTAGACCTGTATGGTATTTCCATCTGATTTCATCACTGTATTATGCCACTGTATACTTTTTAAAAGTCTGTTTTGGGGAAAAAGGTAGCTAACATTTAAAAAAATCATCTTTTTTTCAGGTGACACATTGTTTTATTATTTTAAAAAATCAGAGTGAAAAACAAACAGGTTACATTTTAAGAATTTCTTAATTTGCCATGTTAATTTGCTCAATACCAGCAGATCATGAACTGAATATGATCATATGCAGATAATCCTGAGGATCATGTTATAGCTTAAAGCTTTATTTAAAAAAAAATCTTTTAAGCATCAGAATATATATTTTTACTGTCTCCTACATTTGCACCCCACTGTACAAAACTACACAAATACAAAAGTTTTCAATTCCTCTAGATTTTGATCAAATCTTTGTGATGGTTTTACAAGAATACCCGCTGAGCTGCATGTCTGCCTGCTAACCAATCCCTTCCTGCGGCATTTTGTTTTTTAAAGTAAGGTGACATGTTAAGTAAAGATAAAAGAAGAAGATTATCATTTTTACGCTTCAGGAAACCTCGCTGTTTCGAACTCTCCTGACCTCATTTAACAAGACTACATGACTGGGTGTGTTTGTGTTAGAGGTGCTTCTATTTTGCTAATGACTATGCAAATGAAGTTCAGAAAGCAGTTTACATCTGTACCTGCAATAAAAGGGAGAAATCTCTTCTAAATGGAAAACAGTGGGAGAGTTACTCCAGCAGTGCTCCATTTCAGTGTGTACAAAGCCTCTTGCTAAAAAGGGTTCATATGAAGCAGCATGCCTTTCTTCTTCCTTTTGATCTTTAATGAGAATATTTTATATTCAGATGAATCCTAGT